AAATAAAACTCCAATGAGGTATCATTACATACCCACTATAATGACTAAAATGAGGAAAAAATAACAATACCAACTGCTAGAAAGGATGTGGAAGAACTAGAATTCGGATACACTGCTTTTGAGAATGTAAAATGGTACAACCAGTTTGGAAAAGTTTGCCGATTTCTTATGAAATTCGACATATACTTGCCAAGTGTAACCCAGCAATTCTACCCCTGGTATTTTTGCCCAAGAGAAATGAAAACATGCCCACACAAAGACTTAGAGTATTAGTCATAATAATCCCTAACTGGAAGCAAACTAACAATTTATCACAAAGTCCATGTGATATATTCATACAATATAATATTATTCAGCAATAACAAGAAATGTACAACAGATCCAGCAATAGGGATGAGTCTCAAAAACCTTCTGCTTAGTGAAAGAACCAAGGCCCTAAGAGCAAATACTGTGTGAGTCCATGCATAGGAAGTTCTAAAACAGGTAAACTGGGAGAGGGGGTGGGTAGAGGAGATTGCCTGGGAGCATCCAAGGGATCATTGGGGTAAAGGAAATATTCTTAGAAATGTAACAAATTGATGCCCACTTCACACTGTAGATAATTCAGTGGTAATCTCTCGGGTGATTCCAGTGTGCAGCCCGTTTGAGAACCAGTTCTGGTGTGAGTTTGTGCATTGTTTATGTCTGTTTGTGCACCCATCTATTCTTGTTGGTTTACAAAAGAGACCATGAGTCACCAAAAATGGTCGCCAAGCCATCTGGTTTGGCCAGACCTTCAGGTAAGGGTCTCACATACCTTTATAATTTTCCAGAACGGAGCTGAGGTCTAAGGCCAAAGGGAGGGTGCCCCTTCCAGATGAAATCCAGAACACCGTGGGAGGATCCACCTAAGTGTCGCTTAGGGGACTTGACATGGGCCCAGCATTTCAACCAGCACCTGGGCAGGTGATTCCACCCGGAGCCCGTGTCACACCTGCTGGCCTCAGTGACCAATCGGCCCATGTGTTTGTCATCTCTTAGACACTGGTTCTCACCTTGGGTGGCACATTGGAATTATTTGGGGAGCTTTGTAAATCATCATTGTTTTATTCTCACTCCCAGAGACTGGAATTTGATTGGTCCAGAGTAGGATCGAGATTTTCAAAATTTCTCCCGGGTGATTCTAACGTTCAGCCAGGGACTCTCAGCTGTATCTACACCAGTATCACCCAGAGAAGCTTTAAAAACTCTCAATACCTGAGCCCCACTCCTGCAAATTCTAATTTAAGTGTTCTGGGGCAGGAGGGGTAGGGCATGCAGCAAAGACCCAGAATCACTGGATGAGGCACTGACTTTAAAAAAAAAAAAAAACAAGCAATTTCACTGAGAATGTGGTGGGAGAGACACTCTTGTGTGCTGTTTTTGATAACAGATATTACTTACCTTTGGAAGGTAATTTGGTAATATCTATTAAAATTGTAAGTGTGTGTACCCTCTCATCTAGTGGTTTCTCTTTAAGAAACCTATCCCACAGAATTAATAGCACAAGTTCATAGACACATGTTTTTAAGAACCCTTACTGCAGCATTGAATGTAGTAGCAAAAGGACTGAAAACAATTCAGATATTTCCCATTGAGGTCTGGTTAAATAAACCCAAATACCATAGCATGGAACACTATACAGCTGTTTAAAAGATGGTGCACCTACAGGCAAAAATGATCATGCTATATCATTTGGAGACAAAAACAAGTCACAGGCCAGTATGTTTGGCATGGTCCATGTTGCATTAAAGTAACCCTTGTTTATATACATATGTATGTATAAAGAAAAATTCATATATAATCAGAAGGCAGTATCTGCGTGAGACTCAACAACAGTTACCTCTGGGCAATGGGATTGGAGAGATGGAAACTTTTCTTTTTTTGAGACGGAGTCTCGCTCTGTCTCCCAGGCTGGAGTGCAGTGGCGCCATCTCGGCTCACTGCAAACTCTGCCTCCCGGATTCACGCCATTCTCCGGCCTCAGCCTCCTGAGTAGCTGGGACTACATGTGCCCGCCACCAAGCCTGGCTTATTCTTTGTATTTTTAGTGCGGGGTTTCACCGTGTTATCCAGGATGGTCTCAATCTCCTGACCTCATGTTCCCCCCGCCTCGGCCTCCAAAAGTGCTGGGATTGCAGGTGGGAGCCACTGCGCCCGGCCAAAACTCTCTTATTTCACAAACTTGTCATGGTGGAATTGTGGGATTTTTCTTTTTTGTATTTTTCATTATTTTTCAGTGAAAAATCAGATCTTTTAAAAGTTGCAAACTTTAAGAAACGTTGTCAACCTGCTCAAGACAGGCTGAGCTGCTTTTTTCTGTGACCTGTACCAGCTGGAGGTGTAGGGCAGATCCCTCAGGGGAACCCACAGGTCCTGAACGCCGAGGGAATCCACAGCTGCTGATGGGAGATGGGAACCCACAGAAGCTGTTCTGTAGCCCAGTTTTACAAATTCCACCTCCCCCTTGTTTTTTTGTTTTGTCTTTGTATTATTTTTGCAGTCGTTCCTGCCTCTCGTTTGGTTTGAAGGGATGGAAAGCTTTCCTCATGAGGGGCAGTTTTTTGTAGCCACTGTCAGCAGTCTTCAGACCTCACTTTTTTTCTCAGAAAAAGGAGGAAAAGCTTGAAGAATTGCTATTCACAGACGATTCATAAATTGGTCCTAGACTGGGCACAGTGCCTCACGCCTTTAATCCCAGCACATTGGGAGGCCAGGGCAGGTGGTCACCTGAGGTCAGGAGTTCAAGACTAGCCTGGTTAACATGGTGAAACCCTGTCTCTACTAAAAATACAAAACTTAGCTGGGCGTAGTGGCGGGTGCCTGTAATCCCAGCTACTCGAGAGGCTGAGGCAGGGAGAATTGCTAGAACCCAGGAGGCAGAGGTTGCAGTGAGCCGAGATCGTGCCACTGCACCCCAGCCTGGGAGACAGAGCAAGACTCCATCTCAAAAAGAAAAAAGAAAAAGAAAACAACAACAACAAAAACTGGTCCTAGGCAATAGTTTGGGTTTTACTTTCTCTATCATTTGTTTCCTTTACCTGGCACAAGTGCTTTCGTTTCCTGTTTCCTGGGAAGTAGTGACACAGGGTTCATTACCCCTTTAACAGATACAAAACTAGATTCAGAGAGGTTAAACAGCCTTTCTGTTGTAACATGGCGATTATTGGCAGGAATGAGAACTTGGCTCTGCTGCTTCTTTGATCTTTCTTCCACTGGAGATGCTCACTGGACCTGTTTAGGTGGAATGAGAGCTAAAGGGCCTAGATTGGGAGGCATAAACTCCAGGGTTCCAGGGCTAGGCATATGACATAAGTGAATGAAGCAGACCAGGTTTTGACAGATGGAGTGCTGGAATTTCTGGCCAATTGTGAACCCAAGGTGGCCAGAACTTCTGAATGATCAAGAAAAGCCATAAAACAGGATTTAAATGAATATATCTCTCTATTTTTTACATACCAGTAACCAATTCAGAAGCAACATGTATCTGGTGGCTGGATTCACCACATTGTCCTGATTGTACAATTTCTGGTTTAGTGATCACTCCTAACACCACCCAACAACTGGGGGTGACTGAGGAGTTAATAGTCCATGGGCATTGATTCTTTGACGTTATTTTAACCTCTTCCATAGCTAGTCAGCTGCTTTTTTTTTCCATATCATTATTGTGTATGTTTTTTGTACACATAATTTTGTAAAAAGTAAAATATCCTAAAATATCCTGCCACCTAGTTGGCTATTGATATTTTCCTATTTTCTCATCTTTTTGAGAATGTGCATATTGATTTTGATAGATACAATTATTTATTCAGTTTTATGACCTGCATATTATAAGCACCTTTCCATTTTATTAATTTTTCTTTAAAGGCATTATCTTTATAATAGTGCATTCTGTGAATGTAGCATACATATTTGAACACTTGTTTCCTACGTGACTTTGAGCAAGTTACTTATTGAACACTTGTTTCCTACGTGACTTTGAGCAAGTTACTTAACCTATGTCTCAGTTTTCTCACTGGTATAATGGGGATAGTAATAGAATCTATAAGGTTAGTGTAAGGATTTAAGAAGTAAACATATGTAAAGTACTTAGAATAGCACTTACCGTAGAATGAATGACATGTGCTTGCTATTTCATAATATATTATTATTATCATGATTTTGTACAAATATATGTTTGACTGAATTTAAATTACTTTTTATAATGAATTACTATAGGGAGAATTATTGGTCAAAGCATATTAACATTTTAAGGCTCTTAATTTGCGTAGTCAGATAGTCTTCTAGTAAGGCTATTCTAATTTACATTTCCAGCTGGCTGTGGGGTACCTGTTTCTCCATATTCTCTGAAACATTAGTTATTTTTCTTTCCTTTAGTCTTCACCAAGGGATATTACCTTGAACCCCTCTGTCTAGATTAGTACTCCAACCAGATCCTTATTCAGGCTGTTCTCAGAGATTGACATTGGGTTCGGAAATTGATCCTGGTTTAGTCTTTTTTTTTTTTTTTTTTTTTTTTTTGAGACAGAGTCTCGCTGGAGTACAATGGCACAATCTCAGCTTGCTGCAACCTCCCCATCCTGGGTTCAAGCAATTCTTCTGCCTCAGCCTCCTGAGTAGCTGGGATTACAGGTGCCTGCCACCATACTGGCTACTTTTTGTATTTTTAGTAGAGACGGGGTTTTACCATGTTGACCAGGCTGGTCTCAAGCTCCTTGACCTCAAGTGATCCACCTGCTTCAGCCTCCCAAAGTGCTGGGATTACAGGCATGAGCCACCGCACCCAGCCCCCTGGCTTATTATTTGTTTGACTACTCCAAACGGAGAATCACTGTCATTTAGTAAATGAGTTTGCCCCACTTACATTTATTGTGATTTGTCTAGGCATTTTACTTTTTGTTTTCTGTTAGTGGATTCCACAGGCTACCAGCCCAACAGATATCTGTGAGATGCTGACCTAGAATCTCTGGGGTCTGTTCCAGAAACCACTCAGATTGAGGATCCTCGAGTACAATGGCGGCGGGAACAGGAACATATGCTGAAGGATTACCTGGTGGTGGCCCAGGAGGCTCTGAGTGCTCAAAAAGAGATCTACCAGGTGAAGCAGCAGCGCCTGGAGCTTGCACAGCAGGAGTACCAGCAACTGCATGCCGTCTGGGAGCACAAGCTGGGCTCCCAGGTCAGCTGTGAGTACCTCCCACTACCACCACCCCCACCAACACCAACAGAGAATGGCCACACTGCGTTCTGCCAATATTGCTTCTCAAGTCTGCCCGTTTTTCTTCACCTCTACTCTTTGTCCAAACCACCATCTTGTCTACTGCTCTTCCTGCTCCTACCTGTGCCTTGCAGTGATTCATTTACCATTTGCATTTCATTTTATTTCATTTGTAATCATCTCAGAATGCCAATCGGGTTACATATCTCCTTGTTTAAAAACTTTCAGGGACTAGGGGAATTGGGAGTGGGGAATTCTTAGCTAACAAGTACAGACTTTCAGTTTGGGAAGAAGAAAAATTTCTTAGAGGTGGATGGTAGTATGTTCACAACAGTGTAAATGTACTTAATGCTACTGGACAGTACACTTAATTAATGGCTAAAATGGTAAATTTTATGTTGCATATATTTACCACAATTTCAAAACAATCAAATGCCCTTCAGTGGCTTCCCGTCACTCTTTCCATGGCCTACACAGCCCTCTGTGGTTAGTCCCCTGCCAGCCACTCCTGCCTCATCTCATGCCCTCCTCACTAGGCTCCAGATGCACTGCGTCCCCAGCCCCCGATTCTGCTTCCCTATCCCACCCTGCAATTTTCCACCTCAGTCCCTTAGTATTTGCCGGTCCCCTTCCTAGAATGCTTTGTCACCCATCCATTTGCAAGGCTAAATCCTTCTCAGTCTTCAAGTCTCATCCTTCAGGTCATCACCTCTGAGAGGCCTGCCCTGACAGCTCTATCAGAAGCCTCTCTTCCGCAACTCTAGTCTCAGCCATGGCTGTCTATTTCCTTCATAGCACATATCACAATACATCTGCTTGTATGTTATCAATATTTCCTCCACCAGAACATAAACTTGGTAAGGGCAGGGCTCCTATCCTATTCCTGGTACCCAAAGGAGGAGAGCAAGCACACCAAAATCCCCTTGTTCTTTTTTTTTTTCCTTTTTTCTTTTCTTTTTCTTGAGGTGGACCCTCTCTCTGTCACCCGAGCTGGAGTGCAGTGGCGCAGTCCTGGCTCACTGTAACCTCCGCCTCCCAGGTTCCAGCAATTCTCCTCTCTCAGCCTTTCAAGTAGCTAATTTTTGTATTTTTATTAGAGACAGAATTTCCCCATGTTGACCAGGCTGGTCTTGAACTCCTGACCTCAGGTGATCCACCTGCCTCAGCCTCCCAAAGTGCTGGGATTACAGGCATAAGCCATCATGCCAAGTCTCACTATTTCTAATAACCAAATTGTTCCTATATTTATTGAGTCTCTGTTTCATGCTAGGCACTCTGCTATAGTCTGAATATGCTATTTCTGTTAATTCTCATAACAGTTCTATGAGCAAGAACAATTAATGTCACCTTTTAACAGATTAGGAAACTGAGGCTTAGGATCAACAGTGTGCCCAGGGTCTTACAGCTGGTGAGAGATAGTGATAACTTGCAAATCCATTCTGTTGTCCCCACAGTATTTTCAGTGTGGGCCAGGCCAGGGGAACTAGTGTCAGGGCATGGTGTCAGGGTGGCCATGGCTGGGTTGGGCCATTGAACTCTCCTCCAGCATGAAGCCCTCACTTTGAGAAGTTCTGTCTGCTACCAAGACAGGACAAACTCTGCCAGGGTACTTACTGTCCCAGCCCTGCATTTTTCCTTAGCAGCTCAGGAAAACCCCCGGAATCTCAGTGATTATAGAAAAGAACTCTATTACATTCATTAGCTATTCTGTGTCAAGTAATGTTCTGAAGACTCTTAGGAAGGTTTTAGCACTTAATCTGTCTTAGTCAACTCGAGCTGCCATAACAAAATACCATAGATTGGGTGACTTAAACGATAGACATTTATCTTCTTACAGTTCTGGAGCCTGGACGTCTGAGATTCGGGCACCAGCATGGTCGGGTTCTGGCGAGGGTTCTTTTCCTGGCTTGCAGACAACTGCCTTCTCTAGTGCCTCTTTCTATAAGGGCAGTAATCCCATCATAAGAACCCTACCCTCAAGACCTCATTTAAGCCTGACTATTTCCCCAAAGCCTCATCTTCAAATACTATCACTTGGGGGATTAGGGCATCCATGTATTATATTTATTTGAGGGAGACACAATTCAGTTCATACCATTATTGTTAAAACAGTCTTGGAAGGGAGATGTTATTGTCCCTGTTGAACCTCAGGTTTAAAGGAGCAAAGTGATTCTCTCTCTCTCTCTATAAAGTCCCACAGTTTGAAAAAGTGTCCGGTGTATATAAAAACAAATAAAAACAAACCTTTGTATTCTGGGGGATAAGATATTTACATGGATTCATAATTACATGTCAGGTAATGAGAATTACCCCACAGATCACTCACTAATTTCAGAAGGATGTACTTTCACATTGGAGAGATGTGCAGCTACCACTTTACATAGTGGTACAATTAGCATGACCAGTAATGAGACCAGCTGATATCAATGCCTTCTGATGTGATGCAATAAAGACATCATGGAGGATCCCTCACAAGAATATTTAATCTGAATCTAATCAAGAGTACAACCAGACAAATCCATAATATGGATTATTGTATAAGACAATTAGACTAGGTTTTTTTTTTAAAGTCTAAAGAGGCATATCACCAAATGAAATGTTTGTACCTTGAATTAGAGCATGAAATGGGGGAAAAACAGCCCTAAAAGACATTCTCAGACAATTGGAGACTTTCCTGAGTTGTGATAATGGAATTATGAATATGTAGGAGAATGTCTACATAGATTTTTATGAAGATGCATGTGGCAGCATATCTGCAGTTTATTCCAAAAAAGGTCCAAGAAAAAAAGGAAAGGAAAGAAAAAAGGAAAAACTCATCCGGGCACAGTGGCTCACACCTATAATCCCAGCAATTTGGGAGGCTGAGGTGGGTGGATCAACTGAGGTCAGGAGTTTGAGACCAGCCTAGTCAACATGGTAAAACCTTCTCTCTTCTGAAAATATAAAAATTAGCCAGGCATAGTGGCAGCTACTGTAATCCCAGCTACTCAAGAGGCTGAGGCAGGAGAATTGCCTGAACCTGGGAGGCGGATGTTGCAGTGAGCCAAGATTGCACCACTGTACTCCAGCCTGGGGGACAGAGCAAGACTCCATCTCAAAAAAAATAAATAAATAAATAAATAAATAAATAAATAAATAAATAATTGTCGATGACACATTGATGGCTTTGAATATGGTCCAGATTTTGGTCTTTTGCCACCATTTCTAATCATGATTAATGGGGGACTTACTGTGAACCACCCTAATGAGAGGAAGAAAGAACTGGAGTGGGAAGAGGTATGGCAAGAAGCAGCTTGGGAAAATATTAAAAATTCGTGGCTCTAAGAGAAGGATATATTGAGATTCATTATATTATTCTTTCAAATTGTCTATAGATAAAAAGTTTCCAAAATTAAAAATCAGAGTTGGGCACTATGAGAATGAAACATTCACATGAGAAGCACTGTAGTAGGAGACCAGGCACGGTGGCTCATGCCTGTAATCCCAGCACTTTGAGAGGCTGAGGCAGACAGATCATGAGGTCAGGAGATTGAAACCATCCCAGCCAACATGGTGAAACCTCATCTCTACTAAAAATACAAAAATTAGTTGGGTGTGGTGGCTCACACCTGTAGTCCCAGCTACTCGGGAGACTGAGGCAGGAGAATTGCTTGCTTGAACCCAGGAGACGGAGGTTGCAGTGAGCTGAGACAGCACCACTGCACTCCAGCCTGGGAGACAGAGCAAGACTCCTTCCCTAAAAAAAAAAAAAAAAAAAAAATTACTGTAGCGGGAGGTGGCAGCTGGACTCTGACATCAGACAACCTGGATGTTCTCTAGGGGAGCGTACTCCCTCTTTAAGTCTCAGAATCTTTATGTTTAACTATTGAATTTTTGTTTTTTTAAGTTAATTTTTAAATTCTTGGCACCCAACATGGGGCATGAATCTATGACCCTAAGATTAAGACTCTCATTCTCTACTGACTAAGCCAGTCAGGCAGAAATGTTAATAGTACCTTCATCTCATGGGACCATGTCAGAGTTTCCTAACCTCAGCACCATTAACATTGCGGTCTGAGTAACTCTTCTTTGTGAGGGCTGTGTATTATAGGGTGTTTAGCAGCATCCTTGTTCTGTACCCACTAGATGCCAGTAGCACCCCCACCCAAGTTGTGATAACAGAAAGTGTCTCTAGATTTTGTCATAAGTCATAGGGGATAAAACTGCCCAAACCACTGGTCTAGGTAAGACACTTGGTACTGTTTCTTTAGAACATATTAATGGCTCAATAAATAGTCCTATTGATAGGAAACACATAATATTTTGAAACTATGAACTCTGGAACCAGACTTTTTTGGTTCAAATCAAGGATATACAAATTACTAATTGTTGTAACCTTGCACAAGTTATGCCACTGCTGTGCCTCAGTTTTCTTCATCTATAAAATCAGTCTAATCTTAGGATAATCTTCACGGGCGCGTTATGGGCCTAAATTAGTTAACAAGTGTAAAGTCCTTGGAATAGTATTTTTCATATTCTTAACCTCTCAGTAAATTATTATTATTAATTCGTTAGCATTGTAAATGAAAAAGAGGGTTTTTTTTTTTTTTTTTTAAGCAGATCTCTGGAACCAATAAGAATAAATCCATGATCAAAGGTAGGAAGTAAACAATGCAGTTCCTCATCCTTGTCATATGACTTCCAGACACTCCCAAGAGCTCCACTGGCCTCAGAGGCACCACCACCATTTTCAGTGTTAAATATCTTCCATCTGAAAGGACTGGGGTCATTTCAGGCAACTGGATCTGAGATTCAAACCACACAGAAACTGGGATTCCCCCAGCCCAAGCATCCCAGTTAAACAAGGTGTGACCCAAGCCTCATCATGACTCTTGTCTTCAAGTTTTACAAGCCAGGTTTGCCTTCCAAGTCAAACTCTTGGCATGACAGATGGATGAAGTCACATACCTGTTCTCTAACTCAGATGGC